ACCATTACCAGAAACATATCACTATAAAAATTAAATTGTTAAATAAGCAATTATCTAAAACACAATTACTAGTCCAGTCATTCGAAATGACCGACATCTCTTCTTCTGATATGAAGAGAAATTTGAGATGAAAGTTCATAATTTAATTCACAGCGGAAGTGCTGCAGTTCTTTCCAAACGCTTAACAGTTGTCGAATTTTTTCGTATTTTTGGACACTGATTTGCTTATTTTCTCTCTTTTTTCGAACGTAAAGTTTCACATAAGCGTCTCTTACTGCTTGTTTTATTTATTAATTACATAATTTCAAAATTATGAGATCAATAAATAAATTAAGTTAATAGATTAAAGCATTTTTTGTAAACAAAAGATAGAATTAACTTTCTATTAATTTAATTTTTCAAAACATCTCAATAAATTAGATTATTAATTCAAAATGAAAATCAAAAAAAATAAATACTTCAAAGAAATAGGGAAATCAGTATTTCATGGCAAATATATCAATTTGGCATTACGAAAACGAGGTAAACTCCCCCGAACTCAAATAAAAATAAATGATATAAAAAATAAAACAAAATAAAACAACAAAGGAAATAACTCACCCCCAAAAAAAGTCACACAGTTAACATTCTCATTATTAATATTCTTGAAAATTATGCTTAAAAATTAATGCAAAACCACATCTACTAAATTGAACATTAAAACCTTATACCAACTCAGATTCGCCTGCAGAAAAATCTATCTGAACTTATGAAACTATTGACTGTGTTTGCTCATTTCTACAAATTATAAATATTATTACTCAGTTCTCACTTCCCTGCCTAGTTTCTCAGCCTACTTCGAAGATGTTTGTCCGTCGTCTTGCTCGACCATCGGAGATGTCATCCCACGTGCCACCGGGTTCTGTTCAGTGCGATTCGTGCATCCATTAATTTCTCAAAAACTTCCATATTACTCTCTTGAAAAATAATTCTGCCCAACTAATAATTTATACGTAATAGCAATTCCACACATTCAACTTTTTTATCACACATCTGCTCGCGAACAAATACCAAGCTCTTGTCTTTACGACTGTGTCTGTTCATAACCAAGTTCTACGCTGTTCTGTCCCGGAAGTTGTAACCCGCGGCGTTCACTTGTCTTTACGATGCACAGTGTTATCTGAAACTCGTTTCTCCTTGGTTAATCTTGCTCCTTTCCCCTATAATGGCCATGCTTGTTATGTTTGGATAAACATCTATTTACATATCACTATCTTTACTTCTTGACATCCGATCACCTTATAATTCTTCAATTCTAATTATATTTTCGGAAATTTCTCACGTTTCCATTATTAATTCACTACTAGAATTTACACTTTTTTCTCTGTCTTGTTATCATCTTTCCTTTCCCATTAATTTCTCGGGATTTGTATATTTATTATCTAGCAACTGTTGATCTCCATTGTTCCGTACAACAAAGTAAAAATGTCTATCAACTCCATTGGAACTTAGAAAATCAGAAAAGGTTGAATATCACGATGTCGCTAATCATTCGGCAAACCCAGTGTACACTTCAGACATTTGTAGAAGAAAATAGTACACAAAAACTGCCATAATAGGAAGCAATCGGTTTGATACACTTTTCCGGTTTCAGAGACAGATCATTTTGGCACATAATTGATCAAATCATCTATAAAAATGAACCAAAGAACTTTTACTCAATCATGTTCGTAGAAATCTCCAGGGTTGTAAGCAAACGTGAAAGTCACTGCGAAATATTGTATAAAACCATAATGTTTGGAAGAATATCAGTGAAAATACACCAAAGAGCCAGAAAGTGGTATTACCCGCGCACGTTTTCTTGAGCCCTCGCTTCGCTACATGCGAGAGGAGTGGAAAGTTTGGTTATTTTGAGAAAAGGAATTTTACGTCGAATTTGTCGTTCATTTTTTTCTGCATAATAGTTTCTAATACACGAGAGCACACATTTCTCATTTCCATATTTTTTCTACAACTCTCGTTGCTATCATTTATTTTTAATTCAACAAATGTTGGGAAAAGAGTGAGGGTAAATATTCTGGATCAAGAAAACGTGCGGGTATATACAGCCATGAGTATTAACATACAGAGATCTGGAACCAATCAAAATACGGCGCTCCGGTCGGCAAAGACTATACAAGACCACCAGAGTCTGACACAGTTGTTAGATCGGTTACTGCTGCCACAATGGCAGGTTTTCACAATTTAAGTGAGTTTTAACGTGGTGTTTTAGTCGGCGCAAGAGAGATAGGGCATAGCATCTCCGAGGTCGCAATTAAATTTGGATTTTGTTGTACGACCATTTCACGATTGTACCGTGAATATCGGGAATTTGGTAAAACGCCAATCATCCTGCATCACAGTGGCAACAAAAAGATCGTGCAAGAACCGGACAGACGGTGACTGAGGAGAGTCTTTGCACGTAACAAAAGTGCAACCCTTCCGCAAATTGCTACAAATTTCAGTGCTAGACCATCAACATGTGTCAGCGTGCGAACCATACAAAGAGACATCGATGTGGGGTTTAGAAGCCTAAGGCCTTCACGTGTACCCTCGTTGACTGCACGACACAAAGTTTTACGCAAAGCTTGACTGAGCCCATCTACACGGACTGGGCCCATCTACATCTGGACGGTTGATGGCTGGAAACTCGTTGCCTAGACTGACGAGTCTCGTTTCGCATTTTTGCGAGCGGATGCACATGTACAAGTGTGGCGATAACCTCATGAATCCACGGGCCCCGCATGTCGATAGGGTGGTGGAGGCTCTGCAATGGATGTGCTGTACGAGTTATGTGGGACCACTGATACTTCTAGATACGACTCTGACAGGAGACACATGACACATACGTAAGCATCCCGTCTGATCACATGCACCCATTCATGTCCAGTGAGCATCCCGATGGGCAATTCTATCAGAACAATGCGACAGCCCAAACTTTCAGATTTGATGGGCTGGATTGATTTGAGTGGCTCTAAGAACACTCTTCTGAATTTAAACACTTCTACTGGACACCAAAATTCCCAGACATGAACATTAACGATCATATATATGATGCCTTGCAATTATGTATGAACGCTATTGTTTATCGAATTTATGGACAGCCCTGCAGGATTCATGGTTTCAATTACCTTCAGCACAACCTCAGATATTAGTTGAGGCCATGACACGTGTTGCTACACTTTTGCGTGTTCGCGGGGATCCTTCACAATTTTCGGCAGGAGTACCAGTTTTTTTACTCTTCGGTGTAAAACAATGTTCTAGTCTTACTAGAAATTTGAAAAATGTACTATTTTTAATGTTAAAATATTCAATTTTTGTAATGGGAACGAGATTTTCATCATGTTTTTACCGCACTTTGCACAGGTTGCGGTAGCTCAGTGACGTCATTTCAGTTATCTCTGCAGCGTCGCTGATCAAGAGGTCCTAGACTTCGAGTCCCGACGGTATCGGATGTTCCAGTTATATACCTGGATCGAATGTATCTACCGTTTGGAGGAGGGAGAATTCTAGCTGTCGACTGCAGTTACCCAGTAGTTTGCCCAGGTGTCTTCAATAAATAACCGAAAAATTTCGCAGCAGTACCTTCACAAATAGACCACGGACGCGCGCGATCTTTCCTTCCTCATTCTTGTCCCCTTCCCTAATTTTACATTCACACTCACACATACACTAAAATGCACAACTCTAGCACACATGACAGGAGACCAGACTGGAGCATAGATCAAGTCCCGGCTTGAGCGTTGCTACATTGGGGAAGTTACCTGGAGGTGTAACACTTCAACCCTAAGTGTACGTGTACCCTAAGTGTAAGATGCACGATTTGCGGTTAAAGTAAGGGAAGAATACGGACACCTTCCAACACATAACATTCACTACACTTACGGTAATTGTGGGTAACAAGCCCTTAAACAATAAACCATGAATGAATAGCAATTTGCTGTTCTCGATGAAAAACAGAGGAAAAATATTATTTTTGAGAATCTGTGACTAACTGAATATGAGTTTTGTATAAGCTACTCTCAAAATAAAAATACCGATTAAAGTTTTATTTAGTGTCTTATGATCATTGTCAGTAAAATATTGTGTTCTGTATCTCGCAGTTTCAAAGTCACAAATGCTTGAGCGTTACTCTTTTCTACGGTATTCTGCTTTCCCCTTTGTGAGGTACAAAACTATGTAGTGATGCTCCAAGATAGCATAAACCACCGCTGTGTCGTCGAAAATAATACTGGAGATAATTATAAACTAGTGGAAGCATATATAAAGTATGCCAACTTGCGACGGAGTACTTTTAAATGATAATCAAATAAAATAAAGCTGAAAAGAGGAGATGCAGGAGAGGACATCGAGAATCCCAGCAATCGTTATTTATTCCTGAAGTTATAATATTCAAAATTCAAAAAGTCAATTTTACACAGATTCTATTGATGTTCGTAATGCTTTTCCTAAAGACTGAATTTCTACGAACTAATGGACGGATTGCTGGAAACGAACTGCATGACCGAGTTGGCTAGAGCCTGTGCTAATTTAGCGCCTCATCCACGGCGGATTGCAGTCCCTTAATCGGCATCTCCTGACGGTAGAAAGGCACCCAGAAGAAAGAAAAAAGTTAGATTACTGGATATATGGATGTACTTGGCGCGATGGGCCGTGACGGGCTCAGACCTACGGACGACATCCCTATGTCACGGCTATGGAAGTACGTGTGGTTAGCACTTACACATCCCCGCACCGTATTCCGGTCTTCTCTACCTAAAAAGAGAATTTGCTCATCGTCAAACAGCAACTGCGACCTTGCAAGGAAAACGCACACTATAGTCTTGGCTCCACCGGGAATATAAGCCTCGGCTGCTGAGTGGAAAGCAAGCACGCTGGCCAAGAGCTAGTCACGACCCCTAGGTTATTAGATGCTTAAGTAAATTACAGAAACAGAATTTTCCCCGGAGTTTTTATTGTCGTCGGCAAGGCCCTCCAGTGGTTCACGGGCGAATGTATCTGCGTATGTAGTCGGCCTTGGCCATGTCGTAGGGCGTCTTGCCGTCGTTGGTCTTGGCCGCCTTGCTGGCGCCGGCTTCCACCAGCACGCGCACGGCGGCCATGTTGCCGAACTCGGCGGCGTAGTGGAGCGCAGTGCGGCCGAAGGCGTTGGCGCGGTCGAGGTGGGCGCCCGCGGCGACCAGCAGCGCCGTGCAGCGGCCGCTGGGGTCGTTGAACGCCGCCATGTGCAGCGCCGTGAAGCCGTGGGGGGCCTCGGCGTCGGCGCGCGCGCCGCGCCGCAGCAGCAGCTCCACGACGGGGGCGTGGCCCTTGCGCGCGGCGCGGTGCAGCGGCGTCCACGCGCTGCCGTCCGCGAAGTTGGGGTCGGCGCCGGCGTCCAGCAGCCGCTGCGCCGCCTGCGCGCGCCCCTTCTGCGCCGCCTTCAGCAGCTTCTTGCCCGCCGCGCTGCCCGCTGCGCACGCGGCTCAGAATATGGCATTTGCTTCACCACAAAAATTTGAACGTAACCTTAAACCATAGAACTAGAGACCTGCCGATAAGATTTGTGTTTTTGCAGACACGTTTCTCGAACATATATTTCGGAAATAATAAGTAATAGTAGTTAAAGAAACGAGTGCGATCTTAACTGTTTATGGAACTGGGCGTGCAGAAATAAGATGGAATTAAATCCGGAAAAGAGTAAATTCATTTGCGTTACCAAGTCTCGCTCGAACGTACGCTCCAGTTATGAATTAGAAACTAACGTTATACCACGTGTAAAAAACTGTAATTATTTGGGTTTGGTCCTGCGAAGCGACTTAGGTTGGTCGGATCATATTAACAATACAGTTAAAAAATCCTGGAGAGCGCTGCACTTTGTAATGCGTATTTTAAAAAATAGTAGTCCAAATGCCCGATCCCTAGCATATACTACACTTGTTCGTCCAATTTTAAAATGCGGAGCGGCATGCTGGGACCCGTACAAAAAAGGGCAAATCGAAACATTAGATAAAATTCAAAAACGGGCCTCAAAGTTTTTAAATCATGGGTGCGTTGGTGACGAACGAGAAGAATGGGAGTCCTTATCTAAGAGAAAGGAACGGGCGGGTTTATGCGTAATGTATAAGACATACAGAGGGGACCCAGCATGGGCAGATATCGGTAAAAGAATACAGAAATCAGATTATAAAAACAGAGGAGACCATCCTTGGAAAATACGATGTAGAAAGCAAAGAACTGATGTAGGCAAGTTCTCCTTTGTGAATCGCACTATAGTAGATTGGAATAAACTACCTGCAGAAGCACTAGAGGCTCTTCCTTCTAATGTAGCCAAATTTAAAATTATGCTTCATTCCATCTAGATCATCTGGAATAATACTGACTGAGACATAAATCTTTATTATTATTATTTTTATTAGTATTACTTTTATTATTATTACTTCCATTATTATTAATTTTACTATTACTTTTATTATTATTGTTATAATTATTATCGTCATGTCCCTTATACAGTGAAGTGAAGTGAAGTGTAGTGTAGTGGAGGGGAAGGGAATGTAGTGTAGTGTTATGTAAACAAGAAGTGAAACTAGAGTTAGCTAGAAATAAATTGGAACTACGATATCGACCCCTAATTCTAATGGTAAACCTAATTGTAAATGTTGAAAATGTTTAGTAATTCTAATTCTAATTGTTATCATGTTTAGCACCGAGCATTAGCTCAAAGCGAACTTTAATAAATCTAAGAGTGTATCAATAGGCGTATAATTGCACGATGTGGTATGATTAAAGAAACGAGCGAGTTTCTTTATTTACCACTGCCGAAGGAGTACGCCTTTATACACGTGTTACGTTCAATATTTTTTCGTTTCCATTCAAAAATATTTTTATTTTGAATAATAAAAATATATCTTTAGCATTCCATATTTACTTTGTTGATGTCATTTTCATTCCGAAGAAGACCAATTTTAATAGGCCTTGCCTGTGTATTTACGATCACCATAGTGACGTAATGAATTTAGAAAGCACGGAGGATTGATGTTTGTAATATGTAATGTACATTTTTGTTCATGTTTCATAGCCGTCTGCAAACATCTGTATTATAGGTACATAATTAAACGATTTCGATCAGTTCTCTGAGTTCTGATTGGCTGTTTAGGACTTTTAATTGCACGATTAAGTTTTAACTGCACGTATGCCCTAAACACAGTGATAATAAACGATTTTTCATGTAATTAATGAATATTTCATGTAGAAAACGAAACATATAATTTATTAAGCAAGTAAATAACCGTTTTGGATGACTGAGTTTGCTAAGAGTATGTACCGACTCAGCGGTTCGGTCCGAAGGGGTGCGGATTCGAATACCGCCTTAGGCCTGCTTGTTTGTCACTTGAATCTCATGTATGTGTTGCCGCGGAGGCTCTCGCGTTCTGCTGACCCAGGTCAGAGGAGCCCACAACTGGGTTGGTTTGTGGTCAAATATGCATCCCATAGGTACCAAAGGGTAACCGGCTGTCGCCTGGAAAAAGCCCTAGGAAAAATAAGTAAATATTATTTCCTTGGCAATGAAGCCTTCATAAAAAATAAACAATTTTAGTCATCAGTGAAGCCAAAAAAATAAGTTCACAGAAACCTATTTTCAAAAACATACTTCTCATCAGCAAGTCACTACCTCTATGATTTTGAACTTAATACTTTTTCCATGTAAGCCCAATATATGTTCAATTCAGATAAATGTCACATGCGTAAATTCGTTATATTATATCTTACTAAAATATTATTAGCAGAAAGTAAACATCTTAGACCTGCCTTCTACAAATTCGAAAAAAACGTATCCCGAGATTTTTCACTCTGAAGTGTTCAACGCGGAGTGTAGGCTGACTCGTAATACAACTCGTGTGAAGGGAAAGAGGCTGTGTGCTTTTTGCATGTAGAAGGTGGCCTGATCAGTACGCCGTTCCGGCGACCTTTTGCGAAGCCTCAGTAGTCTTTTGCCCTCCATGGTGGTGTCTTGAAAAAGAAATTGAATTGAATTGATTTTTTATTTTACGTGACGAGAGGTACGTTCTTCCGTCTGACCTCGCAAATTTTGCTACGCTCCTTTCACCCACTAGCGGAGAAATGAGGTATCACTCGGTCGACGAAACAGGCGATTTGAATTTAGCTCAGAGGATTCATTTCGGCTTCAGGCTCTTTACATGCATTAAATCCACTAACATTGGACATACAAGGGAATTTTTTTCACCTTAAAAATCCACGGCTTCGATCGGGTTTGAACCCATCAACTTGGGTGTAATAGTTCGATACGCTGATCGTCGCCGCCACCAGTTCATAAAGGAATTGACGGAATTAAAAAAGAAGAGAATCACTTTGTAGACAATGTGTCAGATTAGATGTTGCCAACATCTAGAGTATGTAGGACATCGAATATGATTTCTGTTCACCAATGAGAATACGGTAGGAAAATTCATAAAGCAAACTTATGTATGAGACATTTGCCTATGATTGGTAGGCAAGTTGCATCTTGCACTGATGTTAGAGAGGTAAAAGAAATGCCTATGCATTAGAGTGCGAGCCAATCTAATACCAGTGTCCGATGAGAGAGATGCAGAATTCGGCTGAGCTACGTAACTAGTATCGAAACTCTGCCTTCGTCACGACTTGAACTATTAATACCTCCCCGTGATTAATGCTGCAGATTCATCGATGCTACCGCTGAACTATTGCAATAAGGGAATCGATTTTACACCTGATTAACCGCGATTTGATTAACCGCGTTTTATGTCAGATACCGTTTATTTGAAGGAGAAGGGGTTCGAATCGTAAGATCCGCCAGTCAACCCAGTGGCTTAGCGTCGCTGAGCACGCAGTGGTGCGTACCGTCGGGGGCGACGGGTCGCGAGGGCACGGAGGCGCGCGCGCGGGGGCGTTGGCGTGGCGTGGGCGTTGGGCGGGCGCGGTGGGAGCGGCGGCGGCGGCGGGGGCGGGGCAGCGAAGGGCGTGCGTGGGCGAGGGGCTGCGGGCGCGCTCGCGACGAAGAACGACGACGAGGAGGAGGTGGCGCTGGAGGCGGACGCGGGCGCGGAGCGCCGCCACCCGCCGCGCCGCCGCCGCGCCGCCGCGCGCTGGCCGACGCGGACGAGGTGCAGTACGACGCCGTTTCTCGCTCCGTGCACGAGTCCAGCCGCGTTCTAACACTGCGCACACAACGGAACAATTAATACTTCATCCAGACGCAAATATATCACGTACTGAAAACGAATACTTATCGAACGCGCCACATTCACGATTCTACCTTAATTTCATAATGTTGGTAAATAAGTTACGAATCTCATTAAGCCATACAGAGCAAAGATCCCACCCGTTGAACTTCGTAAAATGAGGTGACATTTATATTGAATATATATTTATATTCGTGAGCTGAGATTTATTTTGAATTGATGCCTTATTTTCCGTGGCGGTACTCGGGCCATGAGGCACGCTCTTCTGTCTGCCACGCAATTCGTCTACGCTCCTTTCACCAACTAGCGAAGAAAGGAGATATTTCTTGGCGACGAAACAGGCCGATTTGAATTTAGCTTACAGCGTCATTTAGGCTTGCGGATCTTTCCATGCAATTATATCTACTACATGGGCAACCGGCTTTCCTGTCCCACGAGAAAGATTTTTTTAATCCACGTTTGATCGAGTTTGAACCCGCTAACTTGTCAGTCGATACGCTAACCGTTATACATTCCGCCGAGATTTACGAGAAACCCCATTTCCAATATATCGGTTTTATGTCGTTCAGCACTTTCATAATTTTCCTACTTATTAAAATATAAAATATAAATAAATCTATTGCTTTGAGTGTAAGTACTCTTAGACATATTTTACGTACTATAACTTAATAATTTGTTTTGGGATGTAAGTACGGCGAACGGTACAAGTTTTTACGTCTGCCTATATTAGAGTGTTTTTCATCCTCTGGTTGCCTAATGTCGATAATATGCACAATATTACGAAAAATATTAACACTAAATATTTACCATCTAATACTTTCCATATGTGTACATATGCTTTCTATTAGAAAGTCTCTTCTAGACTTTTCTCTCTAGAGCACAGTCTTAGTCTAGAAGGTAATTGGAAACGCCTTTCCTAGTTTTTCTAACATTGTTAAAGCAAAGTTGTGCTGTAATATTTCAAGAAAAGGCAATCACCTGGACTTCATTCGAATGGTCCCGGTCGAATCCGCTGTGGTTTTCGGGCTACTAGGGGCAATTTAAAACGAGATTCGTTCAATCGCAGAGATATCGAATACGTCTTCACTTGACAAATCCCAGAGCTGATAGCTCTTAGCTAAGAACGCCAGCACATGACTTTGTGGAGACCTCTGAAAGTCTGATTCTGGTGTTAACCTAGATGATTTTCCTTACAATGAGTAAGTTTAGTAGTTATCAGTGTCAAACTTCAGAGGATTAATGATACTCTGAGCAAAAAATAATACAAATGTAGAGCGAAATCGAATCCAGTTTGATATTCTGTAGTGTACAATTTTGAATTAAATACATTTGTTTTGGTGTAGTACACAGTGAGTGGCAATGTGTACAGTACAACGTGAATACATGACACAGATTTTTTAAAGCTGTGTTTTCTCGAGTTTCACGATGTCCATCTAACCCTACTCGAAAGCCACCCCTGTCCAGCTAGTCATACCTCATTCTCTCCTCGAGCTTCTGCACGATCTGCCCCTCGCCTTGAGGTGGAGGCGATGGGCGCGCCGTGTCCTCGGTGCCCTGCATCTTCTGCTCCATGCGTCCACATGGCTCCTGCATCTGCGCCAGCGCCTCGCGATGGGACTGAAGGTCGCGCGATGGCCTCCGCGCTCTGTCCGCTCGCCTGCCCACCCCCTCCACGCCCGCCGCCGCGCCGCTCGCTCAGGTTCATCACCACTCGCTCCCTGCCGACAAGCGCGAGCAGTGAAATAGAAACATTTGAATATCTCGAGCAAAAGGGGTATGCAAAGAATATTAGCCTTAGCAGCTTCTCTAAAACTGATTAGAACTCTAAAATCAATGGATTTTTTTATTTCTTTAAATTAAAAACGTTCAGTAATTAATGTAAAGTTAAGTTAGCCAACATTCGTTTGGTAGGTATACTTTCCTAGATATAACTACAATCACTTCGTACAGTGCATTGTGGAGATTTTAATATTTGGATTACAACCTTTTTGCCAGGGAGTATTCAATTGTAGCGGTGGGCACGGCCAGTGATGATTGAATGCGTATTTAGCACTGGCCTGATCAGTTGCCGTCAGCTTCTTAGATGATAAGGCCGTAAGTGTGGTGCATGTTTTAGCCTAGAAATGGCGCTCTTTCCACCCAGAACGGTAGACCCTTTAACGACCTATAAATTGGCTTGCAAGAATTCTCCTTCTCCAGGTATCTTTCCCAGTGGTGCATCGTTCCAGCCGGAATCAGATAAAGGCACTTATTTGGTCGCCCGTTCCGATAAGCAGTACAGTGAAGAGTATGTAAATATATGTGCGTAACAAAAACGAGGAAAGGAAGATAGCACGCGGTCCTAACCCTGCTTGTTAGAGCATTCATTAAATGTAATTATATATTAAAATGTTCGTTAAACAGGTTTTATTTTCTAACAGGTTAGCAAAAGATTTATAAAATCGACAAATTTAACAGAATCTATTTTGACTTGATTTATCTCAAAACACTGTTTCTAAACGTGAATACTCGTACACTGACGTTAACGGGATGCACAACAGCAAGGGTATGGACAGCTGAAATTTCTGACGGTCGTGTAGGTTGACTGCGGTGAATACTCAACTCTGAAATTTCTTACATGGTTAAACGTTTTATTGTGTGTCGATTCAGTTATACAGAATATTTTCTATTTACTAAAATGCCAAATTATTGCAATGACTCCGCATCATTAATATTTATTCCAAATTAAAAATAATCTCCAAGAATTCATGACGGGATTTTTTTCGAAATGTTTTAGGTAATTAGAATATCAAACTATTCAATCTCCATTACTTTCAAAATTGTATAAAGTTTCTTTATAAATTGTATCTCTTATAAATTGTATTTGTCGACACAACACAGAACACATTTTTACAATTGGAAAGGACTTCTCCGCTATTTGTTCTTTGAGGAATCATAATTGATCAGTTGTTAAGGATAAAATAGATATTCACCCTCCTGGAGGATACGCGTCGCGATTTCTCAGTGCAAAATGTTTGAGCCTATTCTAAAGAAAACTAATGGAATTTGTGTTACTTTGAAATAATTTGTGTTACATTTACTTAGAAAATTGAGTATGTGAGGCGATGCAAAAGGGAAACTTTAGATAATGCCGTTCCAACTTCGCCATCTTTATCAGGACTGGTCGTTTGGTCCACTTGACGTGACCTGGCACGTGAGGGAAGTGAGTGGCGAAAGGTAACCTACAATATTGAAGTTCACTTCCTGAAGAAGGACTCACACTACTTTAGGCCGAAACATCGTAACACGTGTACACTGCCTGACAAAAAAAAGTGATGCACCGAGAAGGAGTGGTACACTATTATCCACCACATGGAAAATTAAAACAGAATTGAATGTCCATACTCCAATTTGTGAATTCTCTCATTTCTTTAGAACGCTGAATTGCGCAATATTGTGTCTAAAGTTAGTAGAACTCACCCAAAATATAACTGAGCAACTACGATTATTTTTTTAAATCTCAATATTTAAAAGCCACCCCCTGGGGACACCACCTTGTAGTAGCACTGTCGGTGCGGGCGGGGAGGCTTGCGTGCTTCGATTATGTGAAAGGCTATGCCGGCTGTAGCATGCTCGTTTAGGCATGTCTACTGGCAGGGTCGCCCTTACCGGACAGGCTGAAATGGAGAAGCCAGACTAACGTGTCTTACAACGTCCTATTTTAATACTCCTCGATATTCCATGACCTAACTTCCACATGTCCTATTCGACCCCCCACATGGATACAGTCGTATCTACTAAGGTACCCTTTCTTCAGGTGTGACATCTTTTACTTTCTTATGCCACATATCTTTCAACTTTCCTATCTGGCCTTTCTTGGCCACCTCTTGTTTTTTCGACCCCGACGCTATTAGGTTTCGAGGGCTAGGGAGTCTTTCTTTTTTTCATTCTTTAGCTTTTTTAGGTAGGCCTTTGAACGGGGAGATGAGTCTCGATAGTCGTAGAAAAGTCAACGCCTCTAGGGTACCGGAAGCTCGATAACAAAACCTCTGGGCCTCCAGGTTGGGGATTTGGGCATTGGGCTTGATACTCAATACCAGTAAAAAATTCAAATGCAAAACGCCCCAATACTCAGCCTCGAATAGGTCAATTATGGAAACGAAATCGTGCGAGAAAAAGGACTTTGAATTTTAGTATATGGAATGTGCAGGGCTTTAATACTAAAGAAAAAGAAGTGTTTGTTCAAATAGAGAAACTTAAAATAAACATTGCTGTTCTCTCTGAAACTAAGAAAAAGGGAACACAAGAACTACAAGAACCTGAAAGACAATTTTGAAAAGTAACTCACAACTCTTCTCGATTCAATAAGTACTAAGAAAGAAATAGTAATAATGGGGGACATGAACGCTAGAGTAGGGAGAAAAATAAAGGACAAAGTAGTAGGTGCTTTTGGAGAAGATATCATGAATGAAAATGGAAAAAGATGGGTTGAGATATGTAACGTTTACGATATGAAGATTATGAATGGTTTCTACGAATATAAAAATATTCACAAATATACCTGGGTGCAGCCTACGAAGAACCAGGAATCAATAATTGACTACATAATTATGCGACAGACATCTTGCATTAAAACACTGGATGTAAGAGTTTTTAGAGCTGCAGAATGTGCCTTCATTACTTACTGAAGGATACAATGAGTTTGAGTTTTTCCTTTAGAAAGCAAGTGCTAAAAAACGATTATAACAAACACGAAGTAAAAAGTATAAGTTACCCTAAATATCAGCTAAAACTATTGAATGAAAACTCCATCAAATTTTTATATCAGTTAAGATTGGCAAATAAATTAAGAGAACAACCTGAAGGGACAGTTGATGATATGTACGAAAAACAAACAGCAGCAATACATGAAGCAGCATTTGAAGCTCTGGGGGAAAAGAGTAAAGAAAAACCTAGGCAATACTGGTAGAATAATGAAGTAAAACTAAGATAAAGGAGAAAAGAAGATATTATGAAAAAAGGCTGGCAACCCAAAACCTGGACAACAGGAAAGAATATATGAGTTTGAATATAGAGGTGAAAAAACTGGTAAAAAAGTCAAAAGATAAATGTTGGAATAAAAAATGCTTAGAAGTGGAAGAGAACGTAGGTGGGACACAAAGCAAGAAATCATGGAGACTTATAAAATAATTAAGACAAGACAATAAAAGACAATCTAATTTACAAATTATAAAACTGGACGAATGGGTTAAATATTACTCATATATGTTTGAAGAGAATAGACACGAATTCAAGAAAGCTCTGAAAGAAACTAACAGACAACTGGATATTACACCTGCTTATGAGGTAGAAGAAATAAGTTTAAATGAGATAAAGAACTCCATCAAGGAGATGAAAAATGGTAAATCTTCTAGCCCTAGAGGTATTCCTGTAGAACTATTGAAAAATGCACCAACCAATGTATTAGAAATACTACAAATAATTTTTAATAAGTATTTGCGAGGAAAAAATTTGCTTATGGAATGGAAGCAAATGTTTTTTAACACCCATTCACAAGAAAGAAGCAAAATCGGAGTACAAAAATTATAGAGGTATAAGTGTAACTTCATCTACAGGAAGACTATGGGCGAATTATAAAACAGAGAATTGAAAGGGAGTTTAATACAGAAGATGAGTAAAGTGGGTTTACAGCTGTTAGAAGTTGTATCAATAACATCTTTACAACAAAGCAGGTGCTAGAAAAGAGATTAGCTAGGAATAGGGAGACTTACCGTGTATTTGTCGATTTAGAAAAAGCTTACGACACGGTCCCATTACGTAAACTCTTCCAAATTATAGAAAAAGTTGGTATCAGCGCCCAATATATAAAGGCAGTAAAAGATTGGTATGAGAATGAAGAAACAAGAATAAAAGTGTGAAATGAAGTTTCGCAGTCATTTGGACAAACAAAGGGTCTGAGGCAAGGATGTTGTTTATCACCCTCTTTGTTTAAAATTTACCTCCACGAAAGTCGAAAACGATGACAATATATGTGCCGAGGTATGGGAATATACATTGATGAAGATTGCTTTCATACATTATTATTCGCTGATGATCAGGTGATTTTGTCCAATGATGAGTTTGACATGGAGTATATG